AAAAAAAAAATTTTTTTTTTCCCAAATATTTTTAGGCAACCCCTGTGAAAGGGTCGTTCGACCCCCAAAGGGGTCCCGACCCACAGGTTGAGAACCGCTGCTTCAGGGATTCCTGCCAGCCTACCCCTAAAGCTGAAATATCTGACAAAACAAAGTGTAAAACTAAATTGAGTTACAGAAACAAAAAAGCTATTTTAAGCAGCTCAAATACGTACAATTAGTTACATATATTCTGTCAAGTCAGGAAAGGGATAAATTCCAAGTTGGGAGGAATGTGTAGAAAAGCTTTCAATGGCTAGTTCTGTTTACTTGTGTTCTGTTTTTGGGTTAAAAGTAATTGCCATTTACCTTTACCTCAAATCAAGTCCTACAAGGCTCCCTCAGCAGGTGGTAGCATCTAGCTGACCTTAGATAACAAGCATTGGGTATCTTTGCTTAGATGGGAGATCATCAGGAAATCAAGGACTGAAGGTTTGACTAGTAAGTTGAATAAACCTCAGGAAAGCTTATGGAAAACTTCTCCAATGCTGCTGAAAAACTGCATACATATGTCTAAATGGACAGCTAGAGCCAAACTTAGCTGAAGAGAATTTCTAACTTTTCAGTGAAAAGCTTAACAGGGTTCTACAGCCCAATTGCTTGGATCTGCATCCACTTTTACGCACACAGGGGCGGGCATGCATGCGAGGGGCGCATAGTGGGAGGGTCACACACGCATTGCATTATGGGTGTGCATGCGTGCTTTCAGCACTCAGCATCGAAAAGGTTAGCCATCACTGCTGTAGACCGTTGTGGGTGTATCGGGAGTTTGTTTGCCCTTGGGGGAGCCAGGGTGGGCATGGCCTGTTGTTGTGGCCGACCGGATGGGTGTGGCCAGGCCCAGGGCAGCAGGGACTGGTCACTCATCATCTCCGGGACAGCCCCGTGGGCCAATTCTTCAGCCTACCTCAGGCCATGTGTTTTGACACGTCTGCTGTAGATTATGGACTAAGAGAGTGACAGATAATATATGATCTAAAGTACCGTGTCCAATTTGTGGGCCATGTGCAGCCCTGGAGAGCTAGTAATGCAGCCCCACAAGATAATGAAAAATATTAAAAATAAAGCAGGTTTCTTATTCACATACATTAACTATATGTTTTATAAGCAGCTCAAGACAATTCTTCTTTATTCAGTGTGGCCAGGATCACCAAAAAATTGGACAACCATGATCTCGAGGTACATGTTTTTCAGATATACAAGAGGTTCACCAAAATTTGAACAATTCTCAACCTACTGGTATTTTGAAGGGCCTTAAAGACCTAGCTTTTTCCCCAGGCCTTTGGAGAGGTTGACAGATGCCCTTTTCTTCTTGTTTCCCTCTGGGCTTATTTTCTTTGCCATTATTGTTCTTTTGTCTTATGCCATTTTTATGAGGGGTTTTGTAATTTTTCTTTTTAAATATTTTTAACAATTGTAAATGCCCAACCAAGAGTTGCTGGTAATTAGGTGGCATATAAATTTAACAATATAATTTCTAGAAAAGGTACGGGGAAGAGTAAAACATTAAGCATTAATGTTTAATCTTAACAAAAGACTTTGAGAAAATGACAGCTCTCTTCAAATACCTGAAGGGTTCCACAGTTAAGGACTGTCTTTTATTACTCCAGACAGCTGGCCAGGGAATTCCACTTAATAGTGGAAGAAAGTTTTTGGTTGAAAGTTTAGAAAACGCTTCATAAGAACAATTTGACACCTGCTGAGGATGGCAGGTTATGCTCAAGCAGAGCCATTTGCCAAGATGCTTTAATTTGGATTCTAGCACTGGCAAGGTGTTAGTTTTAGCGTGGCCTAAAGGAATTCTTTCAAACCTCTACACCAGGGGGAGTCAACCTTTTTATACCTACCACCCACTTTTGTATCTCGGTTAGTAGTAAAATTTTCTAACTGTCCACCGGCTCCACAGTAATGGTGATTTATAAAGTAGGGAAGTAACTTTACTTTATAAAATTTATAAAGCAGAGTTAGATCAAACCCCTAACCGCCCACCATGAAAGCTGGAACGCCCACTAGTGGGAGGTAGGGACCAGGTTGACTACCACTGCTCTACACCTACCTACACACACACACACACACACACACACACACACACACACACACNACTCCTATTCTATTCTATTCTATTCCATTCTAATTCTATTCTATTATATTCTATTCCATTCAATTCCACTCCACTCTAATTCTATTCTATTCCATTCCACTCCATTCTAATTCCATTCAATTCCATTCCACTCCATTCTAATTCTATTCTATTCCATTCCACTCCACTCCTATTCTATTCTATTCTATTCCATTCTAATTCTATTCTATTCTATTCTATTCAATTCCACTCCACTCTAATTCTATTCTATTCCATTCCACTCCATTCTAATTCCATTCAATTCCATTCCACTCCATTCTAATTCTATTCTATTCCATTCCACTCCACTCCTATTCTATTCTATTCTATTCCATTCTAATTCTATTCTATTCTATTCTATTCAATTCCACTCCACTCTAATTCTATTCTATTCTATTCCATTCCACTCCATTCTAATTCTATTCCATTCCACTCCATTCTAATTCTAATTCTATTCCATTCCACTCCATTCTAATTCTATTCTATTCTATTCTATTCCATTCCACTCTAATTCTATTCTATTCCATTCCACTCAATTCTAATTCTATTCTATTCTATTCCATTCAATTCCACTCCACTCTAATTCTATTCTATTCTATTCCATTCCACTCCATTCTAATTCTATTCCATTCCACTCCATTCTAATTCTATTCTATTCTATTCTATTCCATTCCACTCTAATTCTATTCTATTCCATTCCACTCAATTCTAATTCTATTCTATTCTATTCCATTCAATTCCACTCCACTCTAATTCTATTCTAATTCTATTCCATTCCACTCCATTCTAATTCTATTCCATTCCACTCCATTCTAATTCTATTCCATTCCACTCCACTCCTATTCTATTCTATTCTATTCCACTCCATTCTAATTCTATTCTATTCCATTCCACTCCTTTTCTATTCTATTCTATTCCAATTTCAATTCCAATTCCATTCCACTCTACTCTACTGACGGCTTTCCCATCCTTGAAGGAACTTACGTCTCCCACGCAGACGGGGTCGAGGGTGGGCAGGCGATAAATGGCAAGGCTGTTGGGGTTATCGCCCCCGGTGGCCAAGAGGGTCCTGGAAGGGTTGAGCTCAATGGCATGGATCCCACAGCCCTGCTGGTTGACGATGTGGGGCTCGCGATCCTTCAGGATGGGAATCTTGGTGATCTGCCCACTTTGGACGTCGACGACAAACAACTGCAAGAGATAAGAGGTGGGGAAGGGGGAATTTCAGGAAGGTATTATATATTAGAAAGCTACACGGAAAAGTGAACGGTGGGCTCATTTATAGCAGAGAATATTTGCAGCTCATGGTCGGATGGCGAGGTCCCTGGTGCCCTCTTAAGTTTGGTGCTTTTCTTGCAGATGTTTCATGACCCAAGTAGGTAAGATCATCACTGCTAGAAGGGAGAGGAAGGGGAGAACTGGAGGGCCCTTGGTGCTCTCAGCTTGGTGGTTTTCTTGCAGAGATTTCATTACCCAACTAGGTAACAGCATCAGTGATAGAAGTGGGGTTTGCAGAGGGAGGAGGATGGGAGGGAGGAGGACGACTGTGGGGTCCTTGGTGCTCTCTGAGTTTGATTGGTTTTCTTGCCGACGTTTCATGACCCAACTAGGTAACACTATCTGTGCTAGAAGGGATCAGGGTTTGCTCTTCGCCAAGAACACTCCCTACCAATGACGACAGTCCGTAGCCTATAATGGAAAAATCAACACCCTACTCCTGATCTGAGATACGTACAACTTTCCAATTCCTGCGTTTACAAGGATGACAATGCCCATTCCTGCACTTTGAGCATCATCTTCCAGGAAACCACGTTCTTAGTACACCAGATATATCAGATGAAATTCAGGAGTGCCCAAACCATGTTTAAGCACCCTGAGGCAGAAGCCCAGCCAGACGTTTCAGATTGTTCCAAAGTGAAGTCAGGAAAGCAAGTCAGGTGTGATAGTCAACAAGACACCATTAAAAAAAAAAAAATTAAGTCTCATCCAGGCCAATCCGGTTCGGCTGCATTTTCTCTGCTAAAGAACAGTCAACAAGAAGGGACACACCGGTTGTGACTACAGGGCTGACCAGGCCTCCTGACCTCCTCTACGCGGATGTTAGAAGCGAGATGTGGCAAAAAGAGGAAGTAGCACCAATGGCGCATTGGAAAATCTGCAAGAAGTATCATTTACCTACAAGGGAGAACTGGTGGGATCATAGAAGAGAGCAGTGATGGCTAAACCTTTTTGGCTCCTGTGCCAAAAGTAAGGGGAGCGCAGGGGAGTCATGCGCAGGTGTGCCACACCCATAATGCTATGCGCCCTTCCCCCCCCCACTTTTGCCGGTTTTTTTCGCCCTCCCCAGGTTCCAGAGGCTTTCTAAGAGCCTAGGAAACACGAAAACATTCCCCTGGAGGCCCTCTGGAGCCTTCAGGGAAGCCTCCTGAAGCTCCAGAGGGCAAAAACGGCCCTATGAGGAACCTGGAAGTCGGTTCCTGAACTTCTGGTTTGCCTGTAGGCTTCAAGGAATCCTCTGGAGGGCGAAAAACGGCCTCAAAAGAAGGCCAAATGCAGCTGGCTAGCACATGCATAAGCACTGGAGCTGACCGGGCAACGCCTTGTGTGCCCTAGCAAATGGCTCTGCGTGCCACCTGTGTCACGCGTGCCATAAGTTCCCCATCACAGGAATAGAGAAAGTCATAGAAAATGAAGAATTGCTCTGGGACTTTGGAATCCAAACAGACAGGCACCTGCCACATCACAACCCCGGATTTAATAATTGTCGGTAAGTCCTGGATGGTGGACGAGGCAGTGCCCAGAGACAGCAGAAGAGGAAGAGCTGGAGAAAATCACAAAATACAAAGGCCTGCAAATAGGAGTACGACAACTGTGGCCAAAGAAAGCAAAGGGAACACCGACAAGTGAGAAGAGATTTGGATTCAATCCAAAAAAGGACTGGAGCACCACCTGAACCCCATCGGCATTGACAAAATCCCCGTCCGTCAATTGCAAAAGGCAGTTTGACTCAGAACACCTTCCATCCTGCGGCGATATCTTTAACACCACGAAACATCAATGTCTAAAAAACATCAACATCTGCCGATCCCAGTTCCTCGGGGAGGACTTGATACGTGGATAAAAATGCCAAATCCAGTCTGAACATCTGGATAACTGTGGTGAGCCATCATTTGCAATTAAAAGATGGAGAGGAAGGGAGCAAGGTGCACACGGCGAGGGGTGTCTTCTCTTAATCCAGGGGTCTCCAAACTTGGCAACTTTAAGACTTGTGGACCAACGCCCAGAATTCCCCAGCCAACTTGTGGATTTCAACGCCCAGAATTCCCCAGCCAGCTTGTGGACTTCAACGCCCAGAATTCCCCTGCCAGCTTGTGGAC